TAATAATAATAATACTAATAATAATAATAATGTAGATGGAGTAGAAACGAGATGAAGACCACCATGCAGCTTCATGTCACACTTCATGCAAGTGTAAAAAATAGCAAATATGTAGAAATTTAATACGTAGTAAGCCAATGTATAAAAGAGCTGGACTCCACAGCCAAACTGAGAAAGTGAATGTCTTTGTAGTACAGTACAAACAACCACTAGCTTGTACCAGCCAGGATACATAAATGCAAAGTTTAAAATTTTTTCAGTACTCAGACTCTAGCATAATAGGGGCGTATAATGTATAGCAGATGCACCAAGTTGGGAGACCATGCATAGTGTGAAGAAGCAAGCCACACAAATGTGAAGTGACAAACCTCAACCTTCAAATGTGTATTGACAGAACTTATCCTTTAAATGTGCATGGACAGGGCTAATTTACTTTAAATGTGAAGTAACAAACCTCAAGCTTTAAATGTGCATGGACAGAGCTAATTTACTTTAAATGTGAAGTAACAAACCTCAAGCTTTAAATGTGTGGGGACAGAGACTAACCATTAAATGTGTGGGGACAGACCAGAACCTTTAAATGTAGTCGGATAGACTCCCAAATTTAAAAAAATAGAGGGGATAGGTACCAACTTTAAACGCAGAGGGATAGACCCTACATTTAAATTTTGAGGGATATAGAGCCTACCTTTTAATGCACTATGAGACGACTACTAAATGTTCATGCATAGTCTGTCTGGGACATATGCATAATTCTAACCATTGCAGTGTACACAACAGGAAAGTAGCCACAAATGAAAAAAACAGCATTTGTAATTGTAGTAAAACTAACTAAGCTATTTGCAAGCGACACAGACGTGTTATTAGGTGTAGAAATAATCATTACCAGAAAACAAGCCAGGTTGCGATGGTTGTTGTCCTATAAAACGTGGAAATCCCATTATGATAAGAATGAAATGAACGAAAATCAGACAGATTCTCATAGAAGATTTATGACTCAAATCTTGTTAGCTTCCCTGCAACCCTGTAGGATCAAGAGCTAATAATACCTAGAGTGTACAACGGAAAAACGGGAAAATAGTGCTATTTCACGACAACATTATTCTACTTTGCCTGCGAGTCTAGAATAATTTTATGGTATTGCATTAAGCAGAATTCTTTGCTCTCTAAAACAAGACCAACCGCTTGTCAATACGATACTCCGAGGCTGAGATATTGGCTCCTAAACCAACCCTCCCACATGCCTCATGCCGCCTCGCATCCCGGTTATTCAGCCACCTCAACAACCCTAAGCATTTTGGCTATCGGTTTCCGTCATCGCTTGGAGCGCTGATAATTGATGTCACATGCCCAAATTTGGTACTCTTACTACACCATATAGTAACTGAGCTGCATTGTAAAGACTTAATTTAGAAAACATTGCCGGCTCCATCATGACGGGCATTAGTCGCGCTAGGAAAGGTAATGGGAGATAAGGGCATAGGCGATGCCCCCGAAAGTCACCTATGATAACCGAAACGCTGTTCATTTATCAAGTTATCGCGGAAAAACCGAACTTTCACGAAGCAATGCTTAGGGGCGTTGAGATAGCTGAATAACCGTGATGTGAGGCGGCGTGAGGCATGTGGGAGGGAAGGTTTAGGAGCCAATATCTCAGCCTCGGAGTATCGTATTGAGTTGGTCTTGTTTTAGAGAGCAAAGAATTCTGCTTAATGCAATACCATAAAATTATTCTAGACTGGCACGCAAAGTAGAATAATGTTGTCGTGAAATAGCACTATTTTCCCGTTTTTCCGTTGTACACTCTAGGTATTATTAGCTCTTGGTAGGATGTATACCTCTACACGAGTTTCCGCTTAATTGTACCCAGCGGCTCCATATGTCAAACATTCATCTATTAATCCCATATTTAAAGTCTTTGTTAAGCACACTTTAGAAAAGTCTCAATAATCGATGAATGAATCAAGTGCATTCATGTGATACTGTTTTGGTGTGTTGGTGTATTACATCAGAATTTTACCGACAGAACTATAACTAATACCATACATATAAAACTTCTCTGACATCTGCAATTTATGCAACGAATACACTGCATGGAAATTACGCTACACTGATGCTGGCTCAGAGAAACCAACTGTTCAGCCATTGCTACATGTACACTATAAGCAGCTATAAAATAGATATCGCCTAATCTTACGAAAATAACAGTTCATTCTGCTAAGGATAAATATATAAAGCTATTCATGAACATATTTGGCTCTGAGTGCAGTTTGATGTAAAATGTGTCACAGCCATTTCACAAATTAACATCGGGATATGAGCATCATTGAGGGATAAAAGGAGTTACAACCAGGAAGAAGGATCTAACAACACATCTACTTACTGGAAAGCGTCGATTCGCCTTCCTCTTCTGGTGGTGGCGGAACCTCAAACACCGACTCCACCTATAGGCAACACAATGAAACATTAATAACTACATGGTCTTCTCCGTAGAAAAGAACTAACCGACTTAGCTATAGTCACTGACAATGTTTTTGTAACAAAAACTAATGAATACAGGCCTTAGTAACAATAACAAGCAAGGGTAGAGGAAAGGGGGAGGGGGTAGGGGAGGGGAAGATCCATATTAGTGTGGATTTAGTCTGGGACTGTTCAGAAAACTCTAACACAGATTGCAGGTGTACACAGAAACGTCTTTCTTTAATGCTCTAGGCATAACCACATACATCGACACAAGCCTGGCCAGTCACATACTATATCAACTGCGTATAGAGTACTTATGCAGTAAACAGTGTACACAGTATACACGTAGTTTTCAGTGCTTCACCAGCACTCTCAAATGTACAACTGACTCGCTGACAATCGAGAAACGCCAGCTAACGCCTGAGATCAACGGCGAAGCCGAAACCTACCGGCTAGCTGGCTGAGTCAAGTACAGTGCTCAACTTTTGTTTAGTACAGTAGTCAATCTTTAAGAGGGACCACGTTTTTTGAAAAGGGTGGTTTAATTTGCCTCATAACTCATAGCAAGAACTTGTTTCGGGTGGATACGACTCAATAAAATTCGAAAAGTGTTGTTGCCATTTTTTGTTGGCTATCTTTGAATTTCGGTAGCAATATTAAAACATTGCTGGCCATCATAAAATAATCATAATTTATAACAGAAACGTCATTATCTCCTAAATAACGTTTTCGAGTGATTTTAATTATGTTATAACTATACTAATTAACTATGTTGCTAGTAAAATGGTCTAGCTACGCCTTCGTCCTTTTACCGTGTCTAGAACGATAATTCCGCTGTCATCCATCTTGAAATGCGCCTTGATTCCTTTGAAGTCTGCATCTGCCTCATCACTGTGCTTCTTTAGTGCAGCTTCCACTCCTGTGAGATTTACCTTAGCAATTCTACTTGGTCCAAAAGCACTATAGAGGTTATGAAAAAGAAACGCATTCTCACAGATGTAAACTGTAAACACATCGGTGCTACCCACATGTGAAGATATATCTACATATAGCTATATAGCATATATATCTATGTCTATCTACATTTTTTTGCCTTCATATAATTTCTGCCAAACAAGAAATGCTTTGTAGGTGGAAGCT